CCCCAAAACCCCAAAACCCCATTTACTAAAGATATAGTAAAAATGAGTGATAATTTTAAAAAATAATGTTAATTAAACTTATTGATTTGCTAATAATGTTAAACTTAAATTTTAATTAATCCTGAAAAGATTTATTTTACTAAATCATCTTAAATTAATAATCATTTTCTATATCTGTTATTTTATTTTGGAAGCATTTATCTAGATGAATCTAATTGCTCAGTATTTTCTGAATTGTTTTAGCTAGTTTCTGTTTTTAGACTTAACTTTTATATCGATATACTTGCGAATCCTCTGTCTTAGATCTTATTTTTAATAGAAATTTTAGTACTTTTTAAACTTGAATTTATCATAGCATCATTTCTCCCTTCGTTAATAAAATTATTGATTGTTATTTCTTGATTTCTTAATTTTTTAATCGGAGTGGCATTTGGAGTATATGAAGTTATTAAGTTCGTAGCAGATAAATTTTTTCTTGAAATAGCTTTTTGAGCTAAATCACTTTTAGTCACATTAATTGGACTAATTCTAAAATTAAAACGCTTATCAAAGTTGAATAACTTTGGCTTTTTAACTTTAAGCTTACTAACTGAAATATTAGGTTGTTTTAAGAATCCTATATCAGGAATATCATTCATTTTATCATTTACATCTTTGTCTGTTTATTTTAACTCTGCACTTTCATTAATTACACTTAATTACTATTTGAGTTTTTCTTATTACAAACATTTTTTCCTTTAAATCTTAAGCTAATATGATTTAATTAGTCTGCGGATTTTTCTTTTGATACTATGAATTTGCTTTATCATCAAAAATATTATGTTAAAACCAATATTAAGTATGAATAATCCAAGAAAAAAGTAGCTAATTTAATCTTTGCTCTCAACAGACTCTGTGAAATCAGTGAATACCAAAATTATTTAACTTATTATAAGTGTGATGCATTCGCTAAAAATTTCTATTGCTAATCCTTCTTCTAAAGGCCTGAAATAAATTAGATATATCAAATAACTCAAATTACAAATGATAAATACTTAGCATTAAACAGCTAAGTATTCCTCAGCGATAAATATCAGTATTATGAATATCAATCTTCTAACTATGAAAACAGAGTAATATAAAGAGGAAGAAATTCCATAATCAGATAATGGATCTATAATTTCATCTACGTATTCCTTAAGCTTTCTATGCTTGTAGTTATAGTTAAACCTTTTAAAAACTACAGGTAGATAGATAGCAATAGAAATAACAGCAATACAAAATGCAAAAGCCATTATATATGAAATATAATCTCCATTTGAATCTATTTAATTTTAAAACAAATTATATTACCTTTTTTAAAGAGTACCAAACAGATATAAAATCCAGTAAATATCTCAAAAACTTATTCAATAAAAAATCTTAAAATTGTAGATATGAATAAATGTTTTTTCAAGTACTATATGATTCTCTGCAGCCTAAAACGTTTGAAACAATTAATACTCAAATGAGCTGATATTAGGGAAAGTGCCAAATATATTAAGCAAAGTCCAATATAAAATATCGGAAAAAACATAGGCATTCCTATCAAATAAATGAAATTAGAGTTATCATAACCAAGAAAATCAAATCTATCATTGAATGCAGGGTAGTCATCTTATTTACTAATTCCAAATATTTATTAAAGATGACTTGAGCTATCAATTGGATCAAATGTAACAACACTAAAAATAGCTTTGAGAAAGGTTAGTATAGGTACATTGTATGGTATTGGCATCATAGGTGTATGAGATATCAATTGTAATGTATTTACTAAACCCCATAGTAGTTGTAAGCTTGTTCCAAAAATCACACTTAAACCAATACTTCCATAAAGTACTGAAGTCAGGACACTGTCTGCAATTTACTGTGCAGTATTTATAAACTTCTTTTCAATATCGTTTTATGTTTGTGGTGGTATTTTTTTTATTGTTTTAACAAGTTAACTCTGTCTATAATATGAAATAATGAGCTAATCTTAAATCTAAAATCTAGAAATAGATTCTGATTCATAGAACATTAGTTGTAAAATAATAAGTTTGCCCTCATAACTGATAACATTCCATCTTACTTCATCCAGTCCATTTTCTGAATTTTAAATCTGAATAGAATGTATATAATTCATGAATTATGTGAGATTTATTTAATCATTGGCTTTTAATAAGATGCTGACTTGTCCTAAGTTGTTGATGCTTTAGATATTTATGTCAATTAATTAACTTTTATTTTAATTTTCTACATTATCATCTGTTTTGTTAGGAACTTAGGGTGTTATTAATGGAGGAAGATTTTATTTCAGAGCTTAATAGGTGCTTTAAACAATAATTATTACTTAATAAAAGTTAGTCATTGGATTAGTCAAATTATCATCAGTCAGTTTGAATATAAGAGTGTAATTTCCATAATCTATATTTTAAGGCTCTAAAATAAGATTTTTATCCTTATATTAAACAAAACTTGGCAAGGTATTTGTTAATTATTAGGTTATAACTAAAGACACATGGTCCTGGTCAGGATCTGTTATATCTGGAACTTTTATTATTTTTCTATCTTTGCACTTGATATAAATTATGCTATCTAGCAATGAAGTAAAATAGGGAGCTCAATTATCATATGTTCTAAGAATACTATCTGCTGGTGTAAAAACTACTTAAAGTTGAAAAAATGAATAGCCAGTAAATAAACCACTGGCTGTACCGATAACAACTAACTAATAGGTAGCTGCTGTTTATTAATCTAGAGTTTAGACCGTAAAACTTGAGCCAGTACTGTCGTATGCAAACTAAATAAAACTAGGAAGGGGTGAATAATCTGATTTTAATCCTTGATATACCCAAGTAGGGGTATCTGCACAATTTTCTGAATATGTAAACTAAGATATCTAAATTATTAAAGGCGGATCTCCTACAGTATAAACTTATGCTCCTACTACAGGAGAATTGACGTTGCCTGTATCATAAACATAATCAAGGCACTCAGATGGCAATTCAATAAGATTTAATGAAGTTAGTGCTGAACTAGATTTTGTCAAATCTTCGCGCAATTCAAAGTTTAATGATGAAGAAGTCAAAATAATCAAGTTTTATTATTAAAAATTACCAGTGACAAAAGAATCTTGGTAAATTGAACTAAATGTATCGGTATTAGAGGCTGAGGAAATAATACAGCTTTAGCCAACAGGAAATCTACCTAAATATGCTATTTTTCTAGAGTAAGTCTGAGAATTGACCTATGTAAGTGAACCTATATCAATAAAGAATAAACCAGATGGTGGAATATAGGCATTTTAAGTGGTAAGTAATTCACTACCGGCAGCATAATAAATCTCTCTAATATCAAAATTAGTTGAACTTGATACTGACCTTGTTCCAAAATAATTTCTACTTCTCAAATTATCAAACAATAAATAACTTATTGTTATTCCATCATAATTAACAGCCGTGCAGAAGGTTGAGTAAGTCATAGTGAGATACCAGGTATATAACAGTAAATTTGTACCATCAGTTAGTTATTTAAAATACATGAAACCAACATTATCACCATTTCCGAGAAATGAAGCACAAGCAACTTGATATTAATCAGAATTAGTGTCAATAAAAATAGCAATTTTAGATATTGCTTCCCCTGTATAGGTACTAGATTAAGGTACAGCTGCTCCAGTCAGAAGTAATCCATCAGCTAGATTAATTTTTATCATTGCTAAATCTCCTTAATAGTTTCCTCCAATATAAAGATAATCAAAATAAGGATGAAACACAGCAATCAGAATATTCAGTTTATTCATTGAGTCATCACCATACGAATGATAAAAATTAGCTGCTATTGGTCCAGCAATCCCAGTATATTAGAAAACTGATAGATGAAATTTATTATTAACTCTTGTTAGTAAATAAATTTTTTGAGCAGAATCCATTCTAACATCTATTCCAGTTTCATACATTATTGAGGATAGTGTTGCTATATTATACAGGACATAATTAAATTTCAAGAGACCATTTGAGTATTGCATGACATACAGATTGATTTATGAATACATTGATATTCCTACTACATACTATTTCAAAGTATCTTGAATAGTACATCAAGACATATATAATGCAGTTGTCGCTCCACCTATATTCTTTATTTATAAATCCCAGATAACTCTCCCATTATTTTCATTGATTCTTAAAAGTATTGCATTCCAAGGATATCCAGTATCTATCAAATCCCTTGACATTGACCATCCCCCTATCAAGATATGTTAATTACTACTGTCATAATCTATGCATTCAAATTAAGAATGACTTAAATGTCCTCCTAACAAACCTGGATAGGCATATGTCGGTATTTAGCTGTAGCAAGTGGTCTCATCTCGAGTCATTAAATTTCTAGGGAATTAAATTTCTCAAAAATATAAAATTCTTACATAAAACTGAGTTAAAGAAGTAGGAAAAGTAATTTAATGAACTTTTCAGGCATAATTTTTGTGAGTAAACTATCAATATTTTAATATTATTAAAGACTTTGCTTAAACTCCTTAATTCAACTTTATTCTTGATTAAATAAGAATTGAGATAAAACTTAATTTATTTGAATATTTGTTAATTATGCATTTTCCTAATTTAGTTTAGAGGGGTTTTGGGGTTTTGGGGTTTTGGGG